CGACATGGTGAGCTTGATTCTTATAGAAGGACATTCAACAACGTGAAGTTCTTTAGTCAAAGCTGCAACAACTTCTAACAGTTCACGTTTTTTTTATCCCACAAGATCCTTGAAAACATTACATCTACATCTCATGCATGTCATTACATAACAGGTAGTTCTCCATAAAGGTTTCTCATTTTCTCGCTATTTACTTCAGCAGAAAAATGGCTCTCGAACAGACCGTCAGAGATATCCAAGCACAAAATGCACAATTCTAGGAGATGTTCCTAAGCTTAGCCAAGGGGTAGGAGGAACTGAAAGCACTCCTCACCAATAATCCTGAAGACAACAAGGAAGATCAGTTGGAACAATTGTTAGCTGAGATGGAAAATATGAGAATCCAGATGATGGGTCATATAACTCTTATCCAAAACTTAGCTCGGGGACAAGAAGAGTTGAGAATTCTCATCAGTAAACTTCACCAGGACGAATACAACCGTAAGGGACGAAAGTTAGAATTGGGGATCAATCATCAATCAACCTCCGATAAGACAGGAAGTTGACTTGGTTAAAAGTAGGCCTTTTCGTATTTCTACTACATTGCAAGCCCAACAACCACCTCGCCAACAACAACAAGGGAGTCAGCGTAAGCAGGATACATCCAAAAGACAATATACCAAACTCAACATGCCGATGTCGTAAGCTTTGCAACACATGTTGAAGATGAATTTGGTCACGTTGAAGGATCCTTCTCGGAATCCCAATACGTATGCTCCTAGCTACAATTGGTGCAAGGTGTGCATATCACTCCAATAGTTCGGGGCATGATACTGATATTTTTGGGTTTTGAAATATAAGATTCAAGACTTAATCGATGAAGGAGTGTTGGAATTCACACAAGATGGTCAGATTGATTTTCTCTGTCATCCCTTAAAGGCACGCCATATGAAGTGACAAATTCAGGCGGAGAAGCTTTTTATTCATTCGAATTTTCGTTCGTAATTTCTTTAGTTGATTCAAACACTTATCTTTATTTCATACTTTGGTTGTCCCCATTAATACATTGCATATATTTGTCTTGAATTAATCCATTCGTTTTCATTATACTTAAACTCTTCTTTTACTTCTTTTTTGTGATATTCAACTCTCGATTAAAAGCTATAAGCCTTTAGAGGGAGGATGACGGAAAAAGATACCATAATCTCTACAATATGATTTTGATTAGACCTTGTTGATGATGTATATGCGTTGTTTCAAATCCTAAACAGTGGAGTTATAAGGAAGATAATCCCTAGTCAACCCCTTTGAGACTAAGAGGTAGGAGTTTTCTTTTCACACAAATTGAAACCTTTAATCATAACCTAGGGCAGGGTAGTTTCTCAGTTAATTCAAATGCACATTTAGTTTCAAGCTTTCACTCCGTACATAGCGAATAATATCAGAGGCATCCTCCCAAATCAAAAGACGGTGATGGTTCCCCGTAAAATAGGAAGTCATTATCTCTCAAAAGAAAAGCCTGCTAAGTCGAAACCTATGAAGGATACTTAGGGAAAAAACGGGGGCATCCCGCTGACTGTAATCCCAAACAAAATAGTTCAGGAAAAAATCAGGGATAATAAAGTCAAAAAGAGGTCACTACAGATCCTCAACAAAAGAAATATGTTACAAGAAAAAATGAATTCCTTCTCAAATAAACTTTCAGTTTCCGAACCATCACCAAGTTTCAGTGCTATAATTCCAAACTCTATTGGAACCTAAATGCATAGTTAACTAAGTATAGGACTGAAGGACATCATGGAGAAAGGTTCGGGTACAAGTAAACTTTGAGTCTTTATCCTTTGTTTCTTAAACCGTGAACCAGGCCATGTTACAACCCTTAAAAGTCCTAACTGAAGCATGGGTTAGTTCAAAAGCATATTGTTACAAAAAGGTATCCTGACTCATGTAAGGCTTACCCTAAATCTTGAGTTGATATCACATTCTTACAAATTTTGTTTTACTAAAAAAATGCATTTTTAAACTTTAAGACAGACATAAGCTTTGCATTTTAATACCATTATTTGCATATGACTAAATGTTTGATAGCAGAGAATTCGCCTGACAAATATCCAATGAATGCAAATCCTCCCAATGGACAAAATTACTTCAGATGACATGTCAAAGATAAAGACACTTCCAGTAACAGGCCTTTCATGGACACAATTCGTTATAAATCAAGGGGCATGGCATATTATTGTCCAACTCATATGTGGTTGTCAAGTCAAGATTCCAAGATACTCTCAAAAGTGTTGAATAAAGTGTTGAGTAGCCAGGGGCAGGTATCCTTATGAATCACTTGGGGAATTGAACATGAATTCCAGGAAAGGGTCACGTACGATCAAGAAAACATTTTCTGGCAGTGCTATAACACATACTACTATGGACAGTGACAATTCTCTGCACCCTGTGAACACATACATAGTCGGAAAATACTACATACGAAAAAAGACCCGCTAGGTTGACTGTCCTAGGCAAAAATAAGGGCATTTAGGCGAACCAAAAGAGTTCGGGCAAAAATTAGGGATATATGAATAAAATTGTACACCCGACAAGTCAAAAACCTGAAAAGGAGGCTTGGGTAAAAAAGGGTATCCCGGTCGATTGAAAATATGAAAAGACAGTCAAGGCAAAAGTTAGGGATTAAAGTGTACGACTATATCCTGTTATCTCATTACTTGTCTATCAGTAGAAGACCCATCACCCTGATCAGCATTTACCAAGGGCTCTAGAGGTTGAGATAATGTTCAAGTCATCCATAAATCCCCACAGAGCTACCTTCATAAGCTCATCTTCAACAAAGATACATCCCCGACATATCTAATGTGCCTTCAAATAGAAAGTGGGGCATCTTCCAGTTATTAACATAATCATACTCACCAGTAGATCCCCCGAACGGATAAAGAAGTAAGATCTTCTCCCCGGTAATGTCGCCAAGCTACGGAGTCGCAACCATCATTAGAGATTAGGTCATCGGTGTCATACCCCAATTTTTGACCTAAGATCCCATTTTCTTATTGCATTTTATACAAAATTGAAGCTTACAGAATATGGTAGGTTTCGAACGATTCGACTTCGAGCTTTGACTGTGTAGATATTATCGAGTGTTGTGAGCATTTTATCTTATGAATGACTAACCACTAATCAAGCACAAAGTGTATGTTTTGTTTTTTGATTTCATGTGTAGGAAATAGGTCTGAAAGAAGAGCATCGGACGTCACACATCAATTAGGGTTTTGAGTCTCAAGACAGAAATGCGGTCGATCGTTGGTTCTCAAAGGCTGATTCATCAAAAATAATTTCAGAGAATCGTGTGTTTATTTCCACAATCTGTCCAACAGATGGTCTCGAGCGTCTCTAAAATTTTTCATAAAGAACAGTCAAAGTTCTACTGCCATTGGTTCATGTGTGTTTCACATTGCTTTAAAATACAAAAAAACAAGCTATGCCAGTCATTTCCGATCACTTCGACCAAAAGTCATCTGCAAGTTTTCTGATGACGCAGGGTGAATTTCGTCAAAATGGGATGATTAAATTCAAAACCGTTCTAGAAGAATTTATTTGGAATACTTGGAATTTTCTTCAAGAGATAATTAAAGAGGAGCTACCAACAGATCTCATTCAAGAATAATCATTTATCGCATGAAATATTTATTCAAGATTATTTTGTGTGATTATTTTGGTGGATTTACATTATGGTTATTTGAACACACATGAAGCATTTACTAAGGAGATATTAGAAAAATAAATTCGATTCAAATAATCGTTTATCACAAGATTAATTACATGAGGGTTGCTATTTGATTACAAAATCAATTCATGTGATTTATTTGGATCCCTATTACAAAATGCAAGATTAAAGTCTAAGGCTTGCATTATCATTTATTCATCATTCAACAATTATTCAAGTATTATTCAATTCTAAACCCATTTTAAATGGAAGACCTTGAATTTTTATCAAGACATGTCAAGATTCAATTTCAAATGAAGATTCAAAGTTATTTACAATTACAAGGGAATTGAGAATATATTGAAGAATACATGTCCATTCATGTTACAATTTACTTGGATTTATTGTTACAAAGTTACAAAAGAAATTCAAATTTTGTACACGAAAATCAAGCTATTATTCTTGCTACAAAACAGTCCCAATGTTGTCCATTTTTTCCAGCACTGTTTTAATCCAATAATAGTCCAATTCTTGAGTATAATGATGTCCATTTTCTCCAAACTTGTTTCAACAAAAACCATGCCAAGTTGCTGTCCTAATCTGCCCTGCAAAACAGTCCAAAATGCATCCCATAAGACAAAAATATGCACCTTTGCTGCTACAAAAAAACAGTCTACAAAACTCCAAACATTGCACTAAAATGCATACTTCAAAAAGCTGTCTCATAAAACATCAAAACAGAGCCTAAAATAGTTCAAATCTCTACTATTTTCCCCCCTAAAACCCCATATATTTCACTATAAATAGAGGCCTCTTCATGAACAGAATGGGAGGGAACAACACAAAAGAAAGGAGATACAACAAGAGAAACACAAAATTCAGCACACAGAAAAAACTCAAAGGAGAGGAAAAACAGAAAAGAGGAGAAGTTTGCCCAATTTTTAAAAGCAAAGATTAAAGTAAAGAGGAGCTTGAGCATCAAGGGAGAACTTAATGTTTTTTGAAGCTCCATCGGAGAGACTCCGATAGGTATTTCTTCTTCCCTATTTACTTCTGCATAACTTTCTCATTCACATGTTTGAATCTTCTATTTACACCACTTTTATGCCATGTGAATGCTTGCTTCATTATACCTTTTTTGCTGTACTTTGAGCTACTACAATATGTGGACATTTAGAAATGCTTAGAATCATAATAATAGTAATAACATAAAAATTAATTGATAAAAAAATATACTTCAAAACTACTGTTAAAACAACGTACAAACCATTATTTCTTTCACAAAAGAAAAACCTTACCACCCACTATATCCTCAAGCTTCTTCCTCCATCATCAAACCCGCAACCCTTGCAGCCCAGCATTCATCTTGCACCTAAATTCAATGATATTGTAAATTATCAGAATTCTGCAAACATTCAACCATCTTCGCAGCTTCATGATAGAGTAGATGATAATAAGAATTCTTCAGTTGTTTCTCCATTATATCACTCTTATACACCTAGAATTTATCCTTCCCAAGGCCATCATCCTCCACCTGCTAGATCAGACAGTTCTTATTCTGAGCCCTACAATTACCAGCAATACTCACCAGATCAGTCCCAGAATTTAGGTCCTAATTACCCTTCTCATGAACATCATTCCACATCCATCTTTAACAACATCTCTCATAACAATCATCCATTTTCGTAGACCTTCCTGTCATATTAGTCAATCACAAAAGCAGCAAGATGAGCTAACTAGTTTCCACTACACTAAGTAAAATGCATTAGAAGATAAGATACTTACCCCATTGTCATTGTTTGAAGCCACGTTGTTATTCACACTTCCAGTCACTTCTGCCATCTTACGCGACATTGGTTGATCCTAACCATGTGGCTGCTAGTCCTAAAGAAGTTGCTCCTAAAATCTCCAAACCTAGTTATTATGATAGTAGGGCAGCAAGGAACAAACATCTGGCCCAAACACTAAGTTGTAACCGCCACCGACCTAACCCAATAACCATCTACTATCCGCCCAAAACCACCATACTCCCTCTACACAATACTCTTTGTACCGCCATTACTCTCATACTCCTTGCCATCTCTCGCTACAACCAGATGCTCCCTCTGTTTCTCTTTCGACACAAATAACAACAACAGAGTGCGTTTTTGGATTAGTCGGTAACGGCTTCGCTATTGTGGTGGTTGATACATCCATAGTTCACAGCATCCTCATTCACAAGTCCAACGAAGATAAGATCATGCTCCTCGATTCATACAAACTTGTTGCCGCTAGTGGCGAACCCGGTGACAGGGTTCAATTTGCTGAGTATATTCAGAAGAATGTTGCTTTGTGTCAATTCTGTAATGGGATCCCTCTTACCTTTACATTCATCCTCTTCTTTCGCCACTCACCGAAGCGATTCTATGATCTCCGTCGTACTCAATCGTTCAAATGTCTATTCCTCTGAATGATCAGCTTTCGCAAGCTGAGTCAAGTTGTGGATCGCTTTTGTATGAACTTCAGATAATATGGGATGAAGTTGGGGAGACTGAGCCTGATAGAGACAGAATGTTGTTTGAGCTTGAACAAGAGTATCTTGAAGTTTATAGAAGGAAAGTAGATCAGGTGAATCGGTCTAGAGCTCAACTAAGGCAAGCGATTACTAATTGTGAGGTTGAACTTGCAGCCATCTGTTCAACAATAGGAGAGCGTCTCGTTCACATTAGACAGTCAGATCGAAATGTCGGAAGCCTAAAGGAAGAGCATGCAAGATTTCTTCCACAGTTGGAAGAGATGAAAAAGCACCATATTGAGCCGAGAAATCCTGAAGCTTATTTCGGCCAGTAGTACGATTTTTTCTCAAGAACAAAGTTAAGTTGGACTTTGTTAGGGAGAAGAGAAGGATAAATTTGTGAGTAGGGAGAGAGTGTGTTGTTATTTTTTTTCTACGGTACAGCATAGAACTAGCGCTAACAGCAATAATAATAATAATAATGAGATATGCATTTACCTTCCCAATAACAATAATATTATTTAATCATTTTTTCTTTTCCAATGTACAGCAGCGGCGTTTTCTTGGCTCTAGGGTTTTCCCAATTTTTCCTTGTTTCTTTCCCAACTAGGTCAGCCCCATTGGGCCTATTGGCCCAATCACTCAACCATATTCACCTTATTTATTAATTAAATCGTATTAATAACAGATAATCAGCTTAACTTAGTTGGCAAAACCCATCACCAATGACCAAGGAGACCCGAGTTCTACCCTTGTTGGGTTTTTTTTCGTTTTTAAGTCTATTCTCCTCATATTTTACTATATATTTCTTAAGAAAATATTAGTTAGTTCATTTTATATAAAATTATCTCTTATTATAAAATAAAAACATATTATTAAATCAATCTTTCACTTAATTTTTGTTATTTACTTAAGTACATGTTATTATAAATTAATCTTTTATTTAATTTTTGTTAACATGCTATTAATCTTCTACTTAATTTTTGTTATTTTATTTAATTATTCAAAATACATGTTTCATAATTTATTCTTTCTTTAATCTTTGCTATTTACTTAATTTATTCAAAATACATGCTAGTATAATTTAATTTTCATTATTTAATTGTTCAATTGTCATTTTAATTAACTTTATTCTCGATCGTTTAATCTTTATATCTTTCGTCCGTCTCAAATCCAAGGAAATTGTTTTAACTTTGTTGACTTTATGTCATCAAATACATCTTATCCGGTGGTGCGAATACCTTCATTCATTTTTGCTTTACTATTTTTTAAGTTAATTTTCCTAAAAAACTCAATTTTAAAACTCACACATTTTAAGTAAAAACTTCGACATTAGGTCGTCGTATCTTCAAAATCTCGTCCATACCCATTTTTAGCCAAACGAACCATTTTAATCAAACAAAAAATTTTAAACCAAAAAATAGATATTTCAAAAGGTTCCTATAGGATACTATAGATGCATTGGGTGCTAATATCTTTCCATTGCATAACCAACCCCCGAACTCTAAATTTCTTTTCAAAATGCATTGTATTTTCATTACTTTTAAGTATTATTTTACATTGCATATTTTAGGGTTTTATTTTGCTCTTTTCCCTTTTCCCTTTTCCCTTGGAAATAATAAAGCGCGGTGGCGACTCTTGATTTTGTGAGTCGAGTTAATTAATAGCTCAATCTCCGATTTACCCTGCTACATTTTTTATTGCTACAGTCAGCACAATTCATAGAAATTATCTTCTCCAACTGAGTTTATTTCTCCAAAACTGTGAAATCCCCTGCAGAATTCGCTTCTCCAGCAAGGATCGTCTCCTAAGCAGAGTATTTCTCCAGCAGAGCATTTCCTCAGCAGAGTATACTCCTCCAGCAGGGTTTATTTCCCCAGCAGAGTTTATTTCTCCAATAGGATTTATTTCCCCAAAAAAATCCAGTCTCCCCAACTTGAGCTTATCCCTCTGACTATTATAAATCACCGGAAAAACTTCTCTCTCCAGCAAAGGGTAGTCCAGACCACTATCCCTAGAGGGTTGCTACGAAATTGGAAACTGGACCAGGTATCAGTTAATATTATCCTCCCTAGACGAGTCAACATCCATGTTAAAGAACTTGGTCAGACGGCACCTCAGAAGGTTATCCATCTCTTTTATCCTCAGTCTGGGTATATAAGAATTAAACTCCCCAATAGAGTGATGAACAACCAATGTTCTTGAGTTCTTCTCCCCAAGCAAAAATCAAATTCCCAAACGGAGTTTCCTCAAACAGCAAGCAGGAATCCCCAGCAGATCGAAGATTCATATTCATCATCCCCAGCAACAATCATGGATTTATTTTCCCGATCAAAATTTTTATATGAAACTACCAATACACTTCAAAGACATCTCACATTCATACATTATTTATCATAGCATATGCATACGAAACGCATTAGCATATTCACATTTATTTCGAGAGCATCATTGCGTAATGCATTACATACATCATGGCGTTGCATAAAACTAACTTTGTCTTTTCAGGTTAAGTTTGCAAACAGACAAATATTATCAACAATTTTCTAACAGGTCACGGAGTAATTCCTGAAATAGGACGGGGCAATTATATGCATAACCAGACAATTTCCTTCAGAAGCTGAATTCTGACAAATATTTCCCTCAGAGATTAAATCTGATCGGTAGCTACTTAAACATTTTCCCCAAAGAGTCATTCTGAAAGATATCTCTTCTAGATGAAGTCGGGCGTAGACATCTTCTAGTGCATCATTCACGCGAAGTCAAGCGTAGATTTCCTTCTGATACTCCTTTTGGAAAAGTAAGGCGTAGACTCCTTCCAATATCTCTTCTAGATGAATTCAGGCGTAGACATCTTCTACTGCATCATTTAGATGAAGTCAAGCGTAGATTTCCTTCTGATACTCTTTTTGGAAAATTCAGGGGTAGACTCCTTCCAATACCCCTTCTAGTTGAAGCCGGGCGTAGACATCTTCTAGTTCAGATGAAATCAAGTGTAGATTCCTTCTGAAACTCTTTTGAAAAAAAGTGAGGCATAGACTCTTTCCAATACCTCTTATAGTTAAAGTCGGGCGTAGACATCTTCTAGCTCAGATGAAATCAAGCATAGATTCCTTCTAAAACTCTTTTGGACAAAGTCGAGCGTAGACTCATTCCAAACATATCTTCTAGACAAAGTCAGGAGTAGAGTCATTCTAGTATATCATTAGGATGAAATCAAGCGTAGATTACTTTTGAAACTCTTTTGGACAAAGTCGGGCATAGACTTATTCCAAACATATCTTCTAGACAAAGTCGGGCGTAGATTCATTCTAGTATATCATTCAGATAAAAATCAAGGGTAGATTCATTCTGATATTCTTTTTGGACAAATTCGAGCGTAGACTCAATCCGAACGTATCTTCTAGACAAAGTCGAGCGTAGACTCATTCCAAACGTATCTTCTAGACAAAGTCGAGCGTAGACATCTTCTAGTACATCATTCAGATACAATCAAGCGTAGATTCACTTTGATGTTCTTTTGGATATAGTCAAGCATAGACTTATTCTGATATTCTTATCCATAGATACTTTGGATGGCATCTATAATACCGTCTCTAACAACATCCTGTCACTCTGGATGGCATCTTTAACCCATTCCCGACATAATCAACCAACAATGTTACTTTGTGCAAGGCGAGTGCAAATTTCTGGGCACTTAAGTGTTCAATCATCTTCTCCCTTCAAGTCACGAATGGCGAACATGCCAATCTAACTCTTCAGGTTTAAGAAGATTGAACAAAATTTTCCCTCCTAATTTATTTATTTGGCCTATGTTTAGCATGTCATTAGTATGTTTCCATTCACATAGCATTCATTCATTGAATAAACCATATGAGGTTCAAAGGATCAATAATCGTGCGTGCAGGGTTTCTGTTAGGTTGAGGTGTATATGTTAGATAAGACTGATTATTCTGGTTCTACTTTAAGCAGTAAAGTGTGGAATGAGAGTTTTTTTAATCGCGATTGTCAAGATTTTATTTATCCAGCTACATGGCCATTCTTTTCTTCTAAATGTTAAGTTGTAAGGATCCTCAAATAAGGATTATTGAATTGGAGTTCATTTCTATGTGTTTCCTAGAAGATCATATTTAATATGTCGTGTTTGAGTATGGAGTGGATTAGGGTTTTCTCATCAACATAAAAAGCCTTCACGCACTAGTCTTCTCCAATTAGGATTGTGCATCATTGTAATGAAGTTTGGCAAGATTCTTTAGTTGAAGTCCAATAGGTTTAATGGAAATTGAATTTAATGATTGGATTTGAGTACAAGGTATTCTCATTGAATTCAAAATTGAGTTCAAACTGGTATTCAAGTTACGATGGCGTATTATTCAAGTGTGAATCACTTCAATTCATCATCCAAAGATTCTTCCAGAATATTCATTCAAAGTGTTGATCTGAATTCCATTCGAATTAATCATCCATTCTTCATTCAACTTTAAATTTCAAGATCTATTCCATTCACCATTATTATTTATTTAGAATACACAAAAGTCAAGAGATTCTTGGGATTCAAGATTCCTCACGGGAAATTTTACAAGAGTGCATTCAAATACCATTCAACATTGTCATGTCAAGTTCAAGAAAATTTCATCAAGACAGTAATCAAAGAAGGTTGAAATTTCAAAAAAGAGGAAGTTTGCTTTGAGTATATACATTTTTATCACTTAAGTTCAAGATAATAATAAAGTATGGTTTTTGTTCAATTGTTACTACATAGTCATTACCATTACAAAATTCAGGCTATATCGCCAAGTATACAAGGGAACTACAAGAGTATATCCGACAATACATGATAAGCCTAATCCTATAGAACTTTTCAAGGCCTTTCTTTTGGACCTTCCTCCAAGACTTGTTCTCCTTCGAAGCTCCTCATTTCATACTCCTCTTTGCTTTGCCTTCTTTATCTTCCTCTCATTGGCTCACATGAAAAAGAAAAAGAAATGTTAGCAAGCAATCAAAAAAATTAGACTTAAGCACAAACAAAGAAAGCTTTCAAAGAGTTTTTGTTACAAATTCATCATTAGGGTTTGATTGAAGGAATCAAAAAGTGGGGGTCATGTCAATCATGTTCACAAGCGACATGTAGGCCTCATACAAGTTTGTTTCACAACAAAGTCAGAAATTGAATGAATAATCATAGGCCCAAAGGAACCTCTATTGAAAATCTCAAATTTTGCTTTGGTTCACAAAGAGAGGTGTAAAGAAGTATTTCCTACAGTAATTCAAAAACAAAAATGCAAGTACAGAATCGCAACAGTCCAACCCAAGTAGCAAGCAATACATAATTCAC